GGAAGTCTCAAAGCCTTTCTGGCGCGTACGTGATCTGGATTCCAGATGCTCTCTCCTGTAAAGTTTACTTTCAATTCGACGAGGATTTTTCTTTTTCTTTTTGTGTGTGTAAGATATTAGTGCCATTGTATTCGGGACTTATCAGTTTGAGATATGAGGAAATTTTGTTTTAGGACAAGTCTGTGTAGAAAGTGTTAAACATTGTTGGAACCACGATGAGCGGTGTGGGCCACGGAGCACATTAGCCACGCCACGTATTATAGCGTTCATTTATCAATAAACTTAAGAAGAATATATTAACTACTTCCTACAACACTGTGATGCATTTACAGAGAGTTTACTACCATTAAAATGTGGTGGAGGTTAACACGGGCGATAAGCAGGTGTTGATGGTGAGAGTCATCAGGCAAATGTACATTCCGTGTTGTGATTAATGGGCGTTGATAGTGAGACGGTGTACCTGTGTGTGGGCGGCGACAATCACCAGCCCCATCCCACCCAATCACCCGTTTACCCCCACCCACCCCATCCACTCACCCACCTACCTCACCAGCCCACCCACCCCATCTCCCGGGTAGTTAAAGGTGAAAAGTAAGTGTTTGTACAACCCTTTGAACAAGCACTGTAGGACCCCCATTAGTACACTGTTTCGCGTTTACAACCATTTTTTGTTTTTGCATGTGAGCGATGTTCTGTCCACAGCAAGGTTTATATCATAATAGAATACGTTTTAGTGTGAAAAAAGATAAATATACCTAAAAAAAAAATATTTCATTTATTCCCCAAATATAGTGATCGGTTCCTTCCATTGTGTAGAGATCAGCTTTATAGATCAGCGAACCCAACCGACCACTAGCTTCTGGAAATGACCGAAGCTAAAAGAGACCTTAAATTGCTTTCTTCCAACTAACAACAACAAAATATCAAAGTATAAAGTTTCTTTTAACACGACGAAAAAACAACAACACCTCACACGGAAAAAATATTATATTCGATTATACACAAAAATAATAAATATCTCTTAAGTGTATTGTACTAAAGCTGTACAGTAATTTACCGCCCTGAGTCTCACGTTTACGGCTCCTTCTCCAAGACCTGTTTAAGAGTTGTTGAAGTAATTGTGGTATATAGGAGCCGTACATGTGTGTGTGTGTGTGTGTGTGTGTGCGTGTGTGTGAATAATAATAATAATAATAATAAACGGTTTATTAATAGAGTTGCAGCCGGTGGCTGAAAATATACAGACTTACATGTGATTTAGACATAATGATATAATATGCGTTGAATACATTTACAGGGCTGTACAGTACATAAATCAGGAGTTGTTTATTATTTTAACAATAGATGGGATGGTGCTGTTCTTATATCTATCGGTGCGGGCTCTTATGGGCTGAATTTTGTTGTAGGGGCAGACTGCGCACGCGCGTGTGTGTAATAATAATAATAATAATAAACGGTTTATTAATAGAGTTGCAGCCGGTGTGTGTGTGTGTGTGTATATGAATATTAATATGTATATAATTATATATATTATTATTAACGGTTTATTGAAAAAATTCTGCAGCCCAAAGGCTGAAAATATACATTGGACTAAAATGACTTATTACATACATACATTCTTCTTCTTCTTCTTCTTCTTCTTCTTCTTCTTCTTCTTCTTCTTCTTCTTCTTCTTCTTCTTCTTCTTCTTCTTCTTCTTCTTCTTCTTCTTCTTCTTCTTCTTCTCTTCTTCTTCTTCTTCTTCTTCTTCTTCTTCTTCTTCTCTTCTTCTTCTTATTATCTTTACTTATTATTCTTCCTTCTTCTTCTTCTTCTTCTTCTTCTTCTTCCTTCTTCTTCTTCTTCTTCTTCTTCTTCTTCTTCTTCTTCTTCTTCTTCTTCTTCTTCTTCTTCTTCTTCTTCTTCTTCTTCTTCTTCTTATTTATTTATTTATTTCTTCTTCTTCTTCTTCTTCTTCTTCTTCTTCTTCTTCTTATTCTTCTTCTTCTTCTTCTTCTTCTTCTTCTTCTTCTTTATTTATTCTTATTACTTATTATTTATTTATTTATTCTTCTTTATTCTTCTTCTTCTTCTTCTTCTTCTTCTTCTTCTTCTTCTTCTTCTTCTTCTATTCTTCTTCTTCTTATTATTTATTATTTATTTTATTTCTTCTTCTTCTTCTTCTTCTTCTTCTTCTTCTTCTTCTTCTTCTTCTTCTTCTTCTTCTTTATTATTTATTTTGCTTCAACCTTCTTCTTCTTCTTCTTCTTCTTCTTCTTTCTTCTTCTTTATTATTTCTTCTTCATGACTATTTATTTATTATTTATTTATTTATTTATTATTATTTGTTATTCTTCATTTATTCTTCTTCTTCTAACATGCTTCTTCTTCTTCTTCACACCTTCTTCTTCTTCTTCTTCTTCTTCTTCTTCTTCTTCTTCTTCTTCTTCTTCTTCTTACTTCTTCTTCTTCTTCTTTTCTTCTTCTTCTTTTATTCTTCTTCTTCTTCTTCTTCTTCTTCTTCTTCTTCTTCTTCTTCTTCTTCTTCTTCTTCTTCTTCTTCTTCTTCTTCTTCTTCTTCTTCTTCCTTCTTCTTCTTCTTCTTCTTCTTCTTCTTCTTCTTCTTCTTCTTCTTCTTCTTCTTCTTCTTCTTCTTCTTCTTCTTCTTCTTCTTCTTCTTCTTCCTTCTTCTTCTTCTTCTTCTTGTTGTTGTTGTTGTTGTTGTTGTTGTTGTTGTTGTTGTTGTTGAGTCTCGTGACGTACTTACTGATGCCTCTCTCTCTCTCTCTCTCTCTCTCCTGCTGTGACTCAGGTGAGTGTTATTGCCTGACTGAACTCTTCTTGTAGGCTACAGTGAGTGGTATGTAGCCTGACTGAACTCCTCTCTCCTGCTGTAGGCTACAGTGAGTGTTATATGCTGACTGAACTCTTCTCTCTCCTGCTGCAGCTGAGTGAGTGGTATGTAGCCTGACTCTTCTCTCTCCTGCTGTAGGCACAGTGGATGGTGTAACCTGGCTCTTCCTCTCTCCTGCTGTAGGCTACAGTGGTGGTTATGCACTGAACTCTTCTCTCTCCTGCTGTAGGCTACAGGTGGGTGGTTATGAACCTGACTGAACTCTTCTCTCTCCTGCTGGGCTACAGTGGGTGGTTATGTAGCCTGACTGAACTCTTCTCTCTCCTGCTGTAGGCTACAGGTGGGTGGTTATGTAGCCTGCTGAACTCTTCTCTCTCTGCTGTAGGCTACAGGTGGAGTGGTTATGTAGCTTCACTGAACTCCTTCTCTCTGCTGCCAGGCTCTGGTGGGTGGTTGTGGCCTGACTGAACTCTTCTCTCTCCTGCTGCAGGCTACAGGTGGTGGTTATGTAGCCTGACTGAACTCTTCTCTCCTGCTGCTCAGGCTGGTGGTTATGTAGCCTGACTGAACTCTTCTCTCTCCTGCTGCCAGGCTACAGTGGGTGTTATGTGGCCTGTGAACTCTTCTCTCTCCTGCTGTAGGCTCGGTGGGTGTTTATGTAACCAGCTTCTCTCTCCTGCTGTAGGCTACGAGTGGGTGGTTATGTAGCCTGACTGAACTCTTCTCTCTCCTGCTGTAGGCTACAGTGGGTGGTTGTAGCCTGACTGAACTCTTCTCTCTCTCCTGTGCTAGGCTACAGTGGTGTTATGTAGCCTGACTGACTCTTCTCTCTCCTGCTGTAGGCCAAGTGGGTGGTTATGCAGCTGAACTCTTCTCTCTCCTGCTGTAGACTACAGTGGGTAGTTATGTGGCCTGACGAACTCTTCTCTCTCCTGCTGTAGGCTACAGTGGGTGGTTATGTAGCCTGACTGAGACTCTTCTCTCTCCTGCTGTAGGCTACAGTGGGTGGTTATGTAACCTGACTGAACTCTTCTCTCTCCTGCTGTAGGCTACGAGTGGGTGGTTATGTGGCCTGACTGAACTCTTCTCTCTCTCCTGCTGTAGGCTGAGTGGGTGGTTATGTAGCCTGACTGAACTCTTCTCTCTCCTGCTGTAGGCTACGAGTGGGTTTATGTAGCCTGACTGAACTCTTCTCTCTCCTGCTGTAGGCTACGAGTGGGTGGTTATGTAGCCTGACTGAACTCTTCTCTCTCCTGCTGTAGGCTACAGTGGGTGGTTATGTAACCTGACTGAACTCTTCTCTCTCCTGCTGTAGGCTACAGTGGGTGGTTATGTGGCCTGACTGAACTCTTCTCTCTCCTGCTGTAGGCTACAGGTGGTGGTTATGTAACCTGACTGAACTCTTCTCTCTCTCTCCTGCTGTAGGCTACGAGTGGGTGGTTATGTAGCCTGACTGAACTCTTCTCCTGCTGTAGGCTACGAGTGGGTGGTTATGTAGCCTGACTGAACTCTTCTCTCTCTCCTGCTGTAGGCTGAGTGGGTGGTTATGTAGCCTGACTGAACTCTTTCTCTCTCCTGCTGTAGGCTACAGTGGGTGGTTATGTGGCCTGACTGAACTCTTCTCTCTCCTGCTGTAGGCACGAGTGGGTGGTTATGTAGCCTGACTGAACTCTTTCTCTCTCCTGCTGTAGGCTGAGTGGGTGGTTATGTGGCCTGACTGAACTCTTCTCTCTCCTGCTGTAGGCTACAGTGGGTGGCTATGTGGCCCTATGAACTCTTCTCTCTCCTGCTGTAGGCTACGAGTGGGTGGTTATGTAACCTGACTGAACTCTTCTCTCTCCTGCTGTAGGCTACGAGTGGGTGGTTATGTAGCCTGACTGAACTCTTCTCTCTCCTGCTGTGGCTACAGGTGGGTGGTTATGTGGCCTGACTGAACTCTTCTCTCTCTCCTGCTGTAGGCTACAGTGGTGGTTATGTAACCTGACTGAACTCTTCTCTCTCCTGCTGTAGGCTACGAGTGGGTGGTTGTAGCCTGACTGAACTCTTCTCTCTCCTGCTGTAGGCTACGAGTGGGTGGTTATGTAGCCTGACTGAACTCTTCTCTCTCCTGCTGTAGGCTACGAGTGGGTGGTTATGGCTGACTGAACTCTTCTCTCTCCTGCTGTAGGCTACGAGTGGATTGGATGGAAGAACGACTCCCGCCAGACGCAGCCGGTGGAGATCACCTTCGAGTTCGACTCCGTCAGGAACTTCACCGGCCTCCACATGTACACCAACAACTTCTTCACCAAGGACACCCAGGTAGGTCTGCCACCAGGTAGGTCTGTCCCCAGGTAGGTCTGCCACCTCTACACCCAGGTAGGTCTGCCACCAGGTTGGTCTGCCACCAGGTAGGTCTGCCACCCTCTACACCCAGCTAGTCTGCCACCCTCTACACCCAGGTAGGTCTGCCACCCTCTACACCCAGGTAGGTCTGCCACCCTCTACACCCAGGTAGGTCTGCCACCCTCTACACCAAGGTAGGTCTGCCACCCTCTACACCCAGGTAGGTCTGCCACCCTCTACACCAGGTAGGTCTGCCACCCTCTACACCCAGGTAGGTCTGCCACCAGGTAGGTCTGCCACCCTCTACACCAGGTAGGTCTGCCACCAGGTAGGTCTGCCCCCAGGTAGGTCTGCCACCCTCTACACCCAGGTAGGTCTGCCACCAGGTAGGTGTGCCACCCTCTACACCCAGGTAGGTCTGCACCCTCTACACCCAGGTAGGTCTGCCACCTCTACCCAGGTAGGTCTGCCACCTCTACACCCAGGTAGGTCTGCCACCCTCTACACCAGGTAGGTCTGCCACCCTCTACCCAGGTAGGTCTGCCACCCTCTACACCCAGGTAGGTCTGCCCTCTACACCAGGTAGGTCTGCCACCCTCTACACCCAGGTAGGTCTGCCACCCTCTACACCAGGTAGGTCTGCCACCCTCTACACCCAGGTAGGTCTGCCATCCTCTACACCCAGGTAGGTCTGCCACCCTCTACACCCAGGTAGGTCTGCCACCCTCTACACCCAGGTAGGTCTGCCACCCTCTACACCAAGGTGGGTCTGCCACCCTCCACACCCAGGTAGGTCTGCCACCCTCTACACCCAGGTAGGTCTGCCACCCTCTACCAAGGTGGGTCTGCCACCCTCCACACCCAGGTAGGTCTGCCACCCTCCACACCCAGGTAGGTCCGACAGGTGTTCTATACCTGTGAGTGTCTCCCGACAGGTGTTCCATACCTGTGCGGGTGTTCTATACCTGTTGTCACCCCGACAGGTGTTCTAGAGCTGTGTGTCTCTCGACAGGTGTTCTCGCGGGCGCGGGTGCTGTTCAGCGTGGGCGGGGAACACTACCACGTACAACCAGCTGTGGAGTTCGAGTACGTGGTGGACCGCATCTTCGAGCACGCGCGCAACGTGACCATCAGACTCCACAACGCCGCCGCCAAGTACGTCAAGCTGCAACTCTACTTCGCCCTCAGGTGGATCCTCATCTCCGAGGTCACGTTTGACTCAGGTAGGTCCTCTTGCTGTTACTGTTATTGCTACTGCTACTGTTACTGCTACTGGTTCTGTTACTGGTTCTGTTACTGTTACTAATTCTGTTACTGTTTCTGTTACTGTTTCTCTTACTGTTACTAATTCTGTTACTGTTTCTGTTACTGCTTCTCTTACTGGTTCTGTTACTGTTACTACTTCTGTTTCTGTTACTGTTACTGCTACTTTTCTGTTACTACTTCTCTTACTGTTACTGCTACTGGTTCTGTTACTGTTACTAATTCTGTTACTGTTTCTGTTACTGTTTCTGTTACTGTTACTAATTCTGTTACTGTTTCTGTTGCTGTTTCTGTTACTGTTACTAATTCTGTTACTGTTTCTGTTACTGTTTCTGTTACTGTTACTAATTCTGTTACTGTTTCTGTTACTGCTTCTCTTACTGCTACTGCTTGTCTTACTGTTACTGTTTCTGTTTCTGTTACTGTTTCTGTTACTGCTTCTGTTACTGTTACTGTTTCTGTTACTACTTCTGTTACTGTTACTGTTTCTGTTACTGCTTCTGTTACTGTTACTGTTTCTGTTACTACTTCTGTTACTGTTACTGTTTTTGTTACCGTTACTGCTTCTCTTACTGTTACTACTTCTCTTACTGTTACTGTTTCTGTTTCTGTTACTGTTACTGCTTCTATTACTGTTACTGTTTCTGTTACTGCTTCTGTTACTGTTACTGTTTCTGTTACTACTTCTGTTACTGTTATTGTTTCTGTTACTGCTTCTGTTACTGTTACTGTTTCTGTTACTGCTTCTGTTACTGTTACTGTTTCTGTTATTACTTCTGTTACTGTTATTGTTTCTGTTACTGCTTCTGTTACTGTTACTGTTTCTGTTATTACTTCTGTTACTGTTACTGTTTCTGTTACTACTTCTGTTACTGTTACTACTTCTGTTACTGTTACTGCTTCTATTACCTTTATTGCTTCTGTTACTGTTACTACTTCTGTTACTGTTACTACTTCTGTTACTGTTACTGTTTCTGTTACTACTTCTGTTACTGTTACTGTTTCTGTTACTACTTCTGTTACTGTTACTGTTTCCCATTGCTGTTACTGCTTCTATTACCTTTATTGCTTCTGTTACTACTTCTGTTACTGTTACTGTTTCTGTTACTACTGCTTCTATTACCTTTATTGTTCTGTTACTACTTCTGTTACAGTTACTGTTTCTGTTACTGTTACTGCTTCTAATACCTTTATTGCTTCTGTTACTACTTCTGTTACTGTTTCTGTTACTACTTCTTACTGTTACTGTTTCTGTTACTACTTCTGTTACTGTTACTGTTTCTGTTACTACTTCTATTACTGTTACTACTTCTGTTACTGTTACTGCTTCTATTACCTTTAGCTTCTGTTACTACTTCTGTTACTGTTTCTGTTACTACTTCTACTGTTACTGTTACTGTTTCTGTTACTACTTCTGTTATGTTACTGTTTCTGTTACTACTTCTGTTACTGTTACTACTTCTGTTACTGTTACTGCTTCTATTACCTTTGTTAGCTTCTGTTACTACTTCTGTTACTGTTTCTGTTACTACTTCTGTTACTGTTACTGTTACTACTTCTGTTACTGTTACTGTTTCTGTTACTACTTCTGTTACTGTTACTACTTCTGTTACTGTTACTGCTTCTATTACCTTTATTGCTTCTGTTACTACTTCTGTTACTTTGTTTCTGTTACTACTTCTGTTACTGTTACTGTTTCTGTTACTACTTCTGTTACTGTTACTGTTTCTGTTACTGTTACTGCTTCTATTACCTTTATTGCTTCTGTTACTACTTCTGTTACTGTTACTGTTCTGTTACTGTTACTGCTTCTATTACCTTTATTGCTTCTGTTACTACTTCTGTTACTGTTACTGTTTCTGTTACTGTTACTGCTTCTATTACCTTTATTGCTTCTGTTACTTACTTATTTTACTGTTTCTGTTACTACTTGTTTACTGCCACTGTTTCTGTTACTACTTCTGTTACTGTTACTGTTTCTGTTACTACTCTATTACTGTTACTACTTCTGTTACTGTTACTGCTTCATTACCTTTATTGCTCTGTTACTACTTCTGTTACTGCTTTGCTACTACTCTTGTTACTGTTACTGCTTCTAACTACCTGTTACTGTTACTGTTCTTGCTGTTACCTGTTACTGTTACTACTGTTACTGCTACTGCTTTATTAATCTTCTTTATCATTTTACTGTTTACTACTCTGTTACTGTTCTGTTACTACTTTGTTACTGTTACTGTTACTACCTGTTACTGTTTTCACTGTTTTTACTGTTACTGTTACTACTCTGTTACTGTTACTACTTCTGTTACTGTTACTGCTTCTATTACTTTACTACTTTGTTACTTACTGTTTCTGTCATTACCTGTTACTGTTACTTCACCTGTTACTGTTATGCCTCTATTACCCTCATTGTTCTGTTACTACCTGTTACTGTTCTGTTACTACCTGTTACTGTTGCTGTTACTACTCTGTTACTGTTACTGTTTTGTTATTATTTACTGTTACTGTTTCTGTTACTACTTATTACTGTTACTACTTGTTACTGTTATGGCTTTATTACCTTTTTATTGCTTCTGTTACTACTTCTGTTACTGTTTCTGTTACTACTTCTGTTACTGTTACTGTTTGCTACTACTTCTTTACTGTTACTGTTTCTGTTACTACTTCTATCACATCACTCTGTTGCTATCTGCAACCACCAACCACCCATTGCTCTGTTACTACTTCTGTTACTGTTTCTGTTACTACTTCTGTTACTGTTACTGTTTCTGTTACTACTTCTGTACTGCATTACTCAATTACACTTCTATACTCGTTACTACTCTCACCACTCTCTCGCCTTCTATTACCTTTATTGCTTCTGTTACTACTCTGTTACTGTTTCTGTTACTACTCCTCACTGTTACTGTTTCTGTTACTACTTCTGTTACTGTTACTGTTTCTGATACTACTTCTGTTACTGTTACTACTTCTGTTACTGTTAACTGCTTCTATCCTTTATTGCTTCTGTTACTACCTGTTACTGTTTCTGTTACTACCTCATTACTGTTACTGTTACTACTGTTACTGTTACTGTTACTGTTACTACTTCTGTTACTGTTACTACTTCTGTTACTGTTACTGCTTCTATTACTGTTACTACTTCTGTTACTGTTACTGCTTCTATTACCTTTATTGCTTCTGTTACTACTTCTGTTACTGTTTCTCTGCTACTACTCTGTTACTGTTACTGTTTCTGTTACTACTTCTGTTACTGTTACTGTTTCTGTTACTACTCTCACCATTTACTACTCTCGTTACTGTTACTGCTTCTATTACCTTTATTTAGCTTCTGTTACTACTTCTGTTACTGTTTCTGTTACTACTTCTGTTGCATTGCTGTTACTACTTCTGTTACTGTTACTGTTACTGTTACTACTTCTGTTACTGTTACTACTTCTGTTACTGTTACTGCTTCTATTACTGTTACTACTTCTGTTACTATTATAGCTTCTATTACCTTTATTGCTTCTGTTACTACTTCTCCATTACTGTTTCTGTTACTACTTCTGTTACTGTTTCTCAGTACTACTTCTGTTACTGTTACTGTTTCTGTTACTACTTCTGTTACTGTTACTACTTCTGTTACTGTTACTGCTTCTATTACCTTTATTGGCTTCTGTTACTACTTCTGTTACTGTTTTCTGTTACTACTTCTGTTACTGTTACTGTTACTACTTCTGTTACTGTTACTGTTTTCTGTTACTACTTCTGTTACTGTTACTGTTTCTGTTACTACTTCTATTACTGTTACTACTTCTGTTACTGTTACTGCTCTATTACCTTTATTGCTTCTGTTACTACTTCTGTTACTATTTCTGTTACATTAGCTACTGTTACTGTTACTTTTCTGTTACTACTTCTGTTATGTTACTGTTTCTGTTACTACTTCTATTACTGTTACTACTTCTGTTACTGTTACTGCTTCTGTGCCTTTATTGGCCTGTTACTGCTTCTGTTACTGTTTCTGTTACTACTTCTGTTACTGTTTCTGTTACTACTTCTGTTACTGTTACTGTTTCTGTTACTACTTCTGTTACTGTTACTGTTTCTGTTACTACTTCTGTTACTGTTACTACTTCTGTTACTGTTACTGCTTCTATTACCTTTATTGCTTCTGTTACTACTTCTGTTACTGTTTCTGTTACTACTTCTGTTACTGTTACTGTTTCTGTTACTACTTCTGTTACTGTTACTGTTTCTGTTACTACTTCTGTTACTGTTACTGTTTCTGTTACTAAACTGTTACTGTTACTACTTCTGTTACTGTTACTGCTTCTATTGCCTTTATTGGCTTCTGTTACTACTTCTGTTGCATTTCTGTTACTACTTCTGTTGCTGTTACTGTTTCTGTTACTACTTCTGTTACTGTTACTGTTTCTGTTACTACTTCTGTTACTTTTACTACTTCTGTTACTATTACAACATATCAACTATTGCTTCTGTTACTACTTCACTGTTTCTGTTACTACTTCTGTTACTGTTACTGTTCTACTTCACTCTGTTACTGCTCATTGCTTGTTACACTGTTACTGTTACTACTTGTTACTGTTACTGCTTCTATTACCCTTTATTGCTTATTACTACTTCTGTTACTGTTTCTGTTACTACTTCTGTTACTGTTACTGTTTCTGTTACTACTCTGTTACTGTTACTGTTCTGTTACTACTCTGTTACTGTTACCTGTTTTTCACCACTTCTGCTACTGTTACTACTTCCAATGTTACTACTTCTGTTACTGCAGTTACTAAACTTCTATTGCTCTGTTTACTGCTTCTCTTATTGTTTGTTTTTACTGCTTGTTATTTTTACTACTGTTACTGTTTCTTTTATTGTTACTGCCTTGTTACTGTTACTGCTTCTGTTCCTCCCGTTACGTTTGTTGTCACTCATCTTCGTGTGTATTACTTCAATTAATAATATTTGACTATTATGCTAATTTTGTTTCCCTAAGCACCGCCTTCTATCTTCACTTACAGAACCTTGTCGGTGTAACATGACGGAGCCTGCCGCCCATACCGACGGAGGTGGAGGAGAAGGCGGTACCGGTGGTTCCTGCGCACTCTACTTCTTCAGGATTCTTAGTAGGAGGACTCGTGACCTCAGGTGTTGTGTTTGGGGTGGTGCCAGTGGCTCTGTGTATCCTGTATTACCGACTGAGGCTGACCAAGAAGACCAGTAAAACTTCTCTCTCCCAGGAAAATGGTGTTGATAGCAGGAAGGTGTCAATGAAGATGAAGGATTTGCATATCAACATGAATCTCTCTCAGTTATCAAATAGTTACTCCCGAGCTAAAGGGAATCTTTATGGTCACGTTGCCATGGACGAGGAAGGTGCCGCTATGTACCAGGAGCCACAAGGTCCTATACACAATCCTGGTTATCACCCTGGGTCCAGCCATCCCGCCCTCAGACACGACCTTCGTGTCCTCTGCCTCTGGATACTGATGACTCCGTGGACTATGCTGTACCTGATGAACGTAACGCCCCCGCCGTTCTCCGATGTTCACCACCACCTCCACCTGTTCCACTAACCCGACCACCGCTCACAAAGACAATCACACAAGAACACTCCAATCTTCCCCACCGACGCCGCCGATCCCGCCACCTCCTGTGCAACACTACTTCACTGCTTCTCAGGTGTGTCAGGCGGTCAACATCCAGGGTGTTACAGGAAGTGTCATCTATGCCCTTACCGATGACTCTGAGCTGAGTAATGTTCAGTCACCTTGAAATCGGGCGACATAGCTACGTGTTAGAGACTATAGGTGAAGGCACGTTTGGCACTGTCAGCCACTGTGAGGTTAAGAATGATTCTGAGAAACTTCAGACACTGGTAGTGAAGAGCCTCAGTGCCAGAGTTGACGACAGTGTTAAGGAAGACTTCTACAAGAAGCTCAGGTGCTAAGTTGTATTGATGATCAAACATTGCACGACTGGTAGGTATGACTACCCATTTGAACCTCTGTGCATGCTTCAGGAATACCTCGAATATGGAGATCTTCATCAGCTTTTACGAAGACACGGCCCTGAAAACACCCTCGGCGAATAGTACAAAAGAGCAGCTTTCAAAGAGGAGAGGTAGACAAATTTCAGTTATGGCGTCTTGTTATTGCCTCACAGGTCGCTCGGGATGAAACACCTGAAAATCAATGGTCCACGGGAACTATGACTGTACTGCCTTGTAGGCAGAAACTTAAAAATGACGGCAAGAGCCAAACGAAGTACCATAGAGACTACTACAAAGCGAAGGAAGACCCACACAACGTTAAAGCCTGCTGGATGGCGGGAAAGCCTATCCTTCAGGTCGGTTCACCAAGAGTGATGTGGGCAAGCTGGCGTGACGCTAGGAGATCCTGACGATGCCCGCCAGCCCTACGACGAAAGTGAGTGACGACGGCGTTGGAGAACGTGTTCACTGCTACCATGGTGATGGCTCGGCATGATGGTCGTTCGCCTGCCGCTCTCCTCCGCGAGATGCAACGACACGATGACTGCCTGCCGGAGCACCCAACGACCGCCAGCGACCTCTTCAGAGACCACTGTTCCTGCAGCGAAAAAACTTGGGTTATGCCTTGACACACTAGAGGAGGTTTTGTATGCTCAAGAGGGACATTTTTGTTGTACCATAAAACAGAATAAAAGCCTAATGGCCCAGATGAGATGGTCTTCACCCACTCAGAGATCTTCAGCCTGCAGGATGTAAAACCCACGACTGACATTCGGTCCCAAGCAATAGTGTGTTGTATGCCTGGGAGACCTCCACCTTTAAACAGACAACCAAGCTTATTCCAGCAGCCTAACGTAAGCAACAACGTGCACACTACACAAAACGTAAACGTTTCAGCTACAAAATGTATTAAGTTATGGATCACTGCAGGAGGATCCCCAAAGAGTCAGTATCATCTCACCATATGGCGCCCATGCCCAAAATCTCCAGGAGACGTTCATGACCTGGCTCAACAGCAATGATGAAATCCCCTGACTGAAAAATGCAGCAGTGTGTGTGTGTGTGTGTGTCTGGAAGACGTGCCCCATGCATAACAAAATATTAAAGACCAAAATTTTATGAAACAAACACAACATTAAATGACCACAAACCATCTCTGTAGGTCAGGACATTCAATATGAGAAATATAATGACAAAGGTGCTCAGTGAATATATTTTATTAAATAAAGGTCAAGCAGCAAAGTCGAGTGAATTGATAAAGCTTCACAATATAAAGCCCAGGCAAAGATGTAATACATTGTATATCACTAATGAAAAGTACAATTATTTCATCGATTAACACTCAGACCTGTATTAGTAGCTTAAATTTAGTGTCTGTTAAGGAAATAGCGAAAACTGAGAGTAATAAGCTGGTGATTGAAATAAATTACCATTTTAGTAATGCTTATTTCAGATATTTGTATGGTTTTCACAGTACTAAAAGCACGCAGTTGTGTGAGTAGTGAACAAGTATTCACTATAAGACCTATAAAGATGAGCAAATAAATAAATACATAAATATATAAAATATATAAAATTTGCCAGGTGTAAAGCCCGGTAGTTGGTGTTTTCCTGGACTGACAAACATTGGTCGCATAGACGATTGCTAGACATAAAGCTTATGACTTAAATAAGCCAAAACTGGTTACATAACGTAAATTCACTGGCTTCCCTCTCAGTGGTGAAAGACATCAAGGTGAGGAAGTGCCTCAGGCTAGTTATTGTCAAGGACAAGACAGAAAGATATCACTTAGCACAACGCTCGAAGGGTCGATAACATTGCTTCATATAAGGGTGTAGAATTATTTAATATCTTGTTAAATTGATATTTTCATGAGACAGACATTTTTTCTTTGGTGTAAAACAATGAACAAGTTCAGCATACAGGTAAGTATACTGTAATTATGTGCCAAAATTTGTTACTCCCAAATTTCACTGAGGCCTCAGAAAATTCCTTCAATGGATCCATTTTCACAATAGTAAACCTCCACAGATCAGGTGTTTGTAAATTATTATTTATAATGTAAACAAATCACCTTAGCAAACTAGATGAAATATGGAGGAAAAACAGAAACCTGGCTTGCAGACCGCTTATGATCTGTAGAAGGGACATCATGGACTGCAGGTGTTCGGTTTATAAGCCTTGAACTGCACTACCTTATATCATCACTTTATATTTTTCTTGGTGAGACATGACAGCATCATGATTGCACAAAAAAAAAATACTTTGACTGTAGCCCTTCCAGTATTTGCAGAAACAGCGATTTTATTTGTCTCAATCCTGAAACTGCACAAAATAAATAATGACTGTGACCTTTGTTTATTTACGTGTTAACTTCACTTACCATTTCAACATCAGAACATGCATGCACACTACATATGATGCATACACACTACCGCAGTTGACATACTGTCACCAAATTTTTCTTGCCGACTACTACAGCAGAGAAAATACTACCACTGTTTAATGTATGCTGTTTCAGCGATGAAAGCCTCATTGGGACAAGACAGCAAGCAGCTTGACACTAATTGGACGAAGTGTTACGAGTTGCCGCGCTGTGCCTGGGATACTGTATGTATCAATCTTGCCAGTGACTCTCACGCAGATACTACTTGACAGTTTTGAATAAGCCACAGATAAATTTATACCTGTGAAGTATTTCACATGTTACAGTATTCCTTGATATTCCGTAGCCAAGTTTCAGCCACGTGATAGCTTTCAACTCCACTGTACAGATGTATCAATAACTACATCTGCACATTGTAAACTGTTTATTTAATAACAGGTCAACAAACACATAGACGACGAAGGAGAGCGAAACGATATACAAAATGAATCTCACAAAGAATTCAGGACACAGACCAGACAGTCTGAAACTACAAGTAAGGAAAAAGATACTTACAAAGTAAAAGCATAACAAGATAAATATATAACATATCCAGTAGTGAATTTTACTTACAATATAAAGAAAATTGAAAGGAGATATTATTACATATATATTACATATATACTACATATATATTATTATTATCACAATCTATACCGTGTTAAAAAAACAATGGAATGAGCCAAATGTTTATGTTGTTACATCCATATTTATTTATTATTTCAATATAGACAGATTTGATGTGGTTAAAGAACTGTGTCGTTGTATCGGCTCTTGTTACAAAACCGATGCTATTTTGTTTAGTGATTCGTTGGTTTATGGACGAGCCGTGAGTGGCAGGCAGCAGTCACCTTGTTACCACCGTAGAGACACAAACACACCTCACTTGTCCGGGACCAAAGTTTTACCCAAGACCAATATTGCTGGAGACACTTTAGTCTATATTAATGAACAGCCCAACTTGTCTAACCACTTGGACTTAATGGCAGAGTATAAGTTATATCACTAATACACCACCACCACTACTACAAAGACATACACACACTACCTCACCACTACCACTTACTACAGTACACACTACCACCACTACTACAGATAATAACAACACCACCACTTTCACAGTATACTAACCACACCACTACCAATACTAACTACACCAGTATATACCACCACCACCACCACTTCTACAAAGATATATACCAATACATGCATTAAACACACACACATTAACTAACACGATCAACAGATATATTACTACCACCACCACCACCTTACCAGAAATACCACCACCACCATTATACATGTAATGCTATCTGGTACTCAATCCACAGACCATATATCCTGATGCTGATGCTTGCTGTGTTCTGTTAACTTCCCGAGCAACGATACGCCCAGTGTGTTGCGACCAGCGCTCGATGGATCTACCACAGTGCTGTGACCAGCGCTAATGATGCACTACCAGCGTGCTGCGACCAGTCCAACGATCGATCTACCTAAAGTTGCGTGACCAGTGCCAACGATGGATTACCAGTGTAATGACCAAAAAGTTAGCGATGGACCTACGCAAGCAGACCAAAAGAAGGATGACTCAGCACAGGACCAGTTATCGATGGACTCTTCAGCAAAGTTGGTGACCAGTGCTATGCATCTACTCATGTGTTGGTGACCAGTGCTAAGGATGGATCTACCACAAGTTGCTGACCAGTGCTAACGATGATCTACGCAGTGTGTTGCGACCAGTACAATGACGGATCTACCTCCACCACAAACCCCAAGTGTTGGTGACCAGTGCCAAGGATGGATCCA